AATGTTTTTCAAAATCACAGAGTCGACTCAGACCAGATCGTAGGGGTTTCTTCAGTTTGGAAAAAGTCGCTCGCATAGTCTAAACGCTGTTTACATACACCGGACGGACCCAGACTGGCGGATGGACGGGCAGACGAGCGGACAGACACAAACGGACGGACTTACAGACGGACGTTTTTCCGTCAATCGATTTTTAGGCATGAAGGACCCACAAAACTAGTATTCTGGCTACCCCAGATGTTAGAGGGTTTTGTTGCTGTTATAATTTAGAAACTGGATTTATCCGCGTTATCAGGGCCCAACAATAAGAGTTTTTCTGCTGTAAATTTGTCGGTTTTTGGCGCAGCATTACATAATTTTATCTCTATTGCTTAAGCGATAGCGAGAAAGTAAAAGAAGAATTGCGCGTTAAACAAGCTCGCTTCAAAATGAAAATTAAAACAATGAAGGAATAACATGGAAATCAAAAAATGTTTAATGAAGATGAGTAATTTTGTAATTATTTTCAAATGTGATCAAAGAAAATATTTTTTTAAATTTATGATTATTACAAATTATACTATAATATATTATATATAAATAAAGTATAATAATATATATATATACTATATATATATAATCATACCGTAAAAGGTAAAATACAACTCTATTTATTTGCAGTTATAATTATAATAAAATAAATAGTGCAATTATTGTAAGTAATGCAATGGTTCATGTAATACAGGGAAAAAAATTTTAAAAAATGTAACAGGTAGAGTACAGGGAAAATAAATTGGGGTTACCAGCTGTCACCCTGAGAAACACACAAACGTATTTTCTCAAAAACGGCTGCAAATATTTTCTTCACACTTTTCGTACGGATGATGCTAAGCGCACTGTTTTAAAAAGGACACAAGAGTCATTTTGGTTAATTTGTTTGTTAATATCTCTCACGAATTTAATATGCACATTTCCAGCGACTGGTATACATTATTGTATTTGTGGGTGAAAGTACTTTAAATTACTTGCAATAAAGTTTTTGGAGAACTCTTAAAGGTTTCTGTGAAAAAGAGCTTCAAATTTTGCATTTACAGTAACGCTTAAACGTATTTTTTTCTTAAACTGCTACACAGTTGTCAACGAAAAATTCCTTATATGGCAAGGTTTTTGCCGTCTACAGTATTCTTAAAGTAATATATCGATTCGTCTACTAGAAAAATTGAGATTTTTTTTTTATAAAAAGTGTTTTAGGCAGCGATACGCATGTGTTTTAGGCAGCGTACGTCAACACTTTTTTTTTATTATTGAGGTATATTTCGATAGAATTGTTGTTTAAGGCACATTTATTAACCCTTTCTACTGAGCAACATCAAGGAAGCGAAACAGATAATTTATTAATAATTCTACTGAGAGTTAAATGATAAAGGATAAACTACACAATATAGTCTAAATGGATTGTCACTTTTCAAGTGCAAGACTTTCGGTGAGTCTAATCCTTACAGTGACATACACTGTGATTTAAAAGAAAACCAGAGGTGTTACGGAATGGAACAGACCTCCGCATTACTTTTCTACTTTCTAGTGCAGGGTAGCTTTTCTGCCTTGCCACATACTCTTGCTATAGCTGGCCTTCTATCGCTGCCCAAAGTTCAGTTAAAGAAAATATTCTTAATTTTTCGGGCTCCTAATAGAAGAATGACAATATTATTTTAAGAATATTGAAGAACAGAAAACTTCGTACTAACTGGCAATTTTCTTCAAAAATTTGAAGCCGTTTTTGAGAAAATTGTGTTTATCGCGACTTCGACAATTGAAGCTCTTTTTCACAGAAAATGTTTTGAGTTTTCGAAAAACTTCATTATAACTTATTTGAAGTACTTATTTTACTAACAAATACAATAGTGTTTACAAATTGCTTGAAAATTGCATATTAACGTGAAATATATTTCAAAACAATTACATTCGTGCCACGTTTAAAAAAATACCCCAAAATTGTGTTTACGTCATATTAAAGAGTGCAATTAGCACTATCCGTTCAAAAAGTTTGAAGAAAAAAATTCGAGCCGTGTTTGGAGAAAATGTGAGCGTATCTGAAAATGCTGAATTCCGAACTAGTTTTCACAGAAAACTTGAGTTTTCGAGACATTTTACCTGACATTATTTAAAGCACATGTACTCATAAATAAAATAATGTGAACAAATTGCCGCTAATGTAAATATTAACGGCATGAGAGGAAGTAAAAAGAGTTGCTTTTTTTAATTTTTGAAAAAACAAAAGAAAACATTTGGAGCCATTGTTTCAAAAATACGGATTTTGTAATTTTTTTAAAAATTGCAAATATTGCACGCAATATTTGTAATTTTGTTAAGAATTGCAAATAGTGCACGCAATATTGCGCTATGACAGTAAAAGTTTCAAAAAACTGAAAATGAACTTCATGAAAGATTATGGACAACAAACGTCATTTGATGGAAATATCTCTATCTTCAATTTTGTAGTTGTAGGAAGACGCGAAAAAGATATTTTTTGCATTTTTCGGAAATTAAGAGTTTACGGTGAATATCGGGCCTATCCATGCCCAGTGTATTTTGCTCTTTTCTTATATGAAATTTAAAGAAAAGGTTTGGAGCAGTTTTTGAGAAAATTTTGAAAATGTTCTAATCATTTTATAAGTTTTGAAGAAAGATTTTCAAAATCGCGGCGCCTCGCGTGCAATCATATCGACCGGGAAAAAATCATGGAAATAATCATTCGTGTGGTTCAGGTGCCAGTGGTGTTCACAGACGGACGGACGTTTGCTACCAAATGTTTTTTTTATATCAAGGGCCCACAAAACAGGGATTCTAGGTACACCACGTGTTAGAGGATTGTTTTTTCTATATTGAGCAATTTTTCCACTTTTTGTTATCAGGGCCCAGCAATGAATTTTTTCTGGCGAAAATCGTCTGTTTTTTTCGCGTGCATACTACATATAATACTGCATATATACGTACGTATACGGGAAAGTAAAAAAAGCAAGTCTTTTGAAATACCTCATGCATAAAATTAGCGTTTGAGTTGCTCGTACATTTCTCATTGTTTTCATATTTTTTAATGAAGTACTTTTGGAGCAATATATTTTGTGATTAAGATATTGTAATGATTTTGAGATAAATCATGTCATCTCAATGACTTGAATCTTTAATAAATGAGTTTAGAAGTGGTAATAGAATGTGTTTTCATATAAATTAATTCAGGGAAGGGAGCAATAATGAATTATAGCCATTTGAAAAACATGATTGTTTAACAAAATAACAACGTTGCGTCGTAACGACAATCGGATAGTACTCGTAGACCATCACTTACAATATCACAATAAGGTATTGCAGGAAGCAACGGTAAATCAGAGTCGACATAGGCGACCTAAATATTTATAAATCAAGCACCTAAAATAATTTCAGTAATCAGATAACATTTCATATTATCTGAATTTTACATGATGTGTTATGTCTTTTATTGAGAATCGTAATGGAGGAAGCTGAGGCTTAACAAATACAACCAACGTTCAATCAACAGAACAAACTTTATTATTGCGTAAAATAGATACAGCATACCATTATATTTCACTTTGGCATATACCGAACAGTATGCCTGTGCATGAAACAAAAGACTTGGTCACATCCTTTGACTAGATACGTGAAAACCGAAACAGATGAGGCGAACTAACGTTCCGCCTGTGCCATTCACCAATTGAGAGTCCGTGCAAGTGGCCAGCGTTCGTGGGGCTGCGCCACGCTGGTTTTCCACCCCTCCCCCTCTAGCCTCATAGCCCGATGCCTCTTATGGAACGCGTAGTTCTCTTTAAATGCCACGCTTCGTCTTTACTTTGCAAATTTTTACATTTGGACTATGTCATTTTCGGAGGGCTACGAAATTATATTGCTATAAAATATAAGAAAATCTTATTTCCATTAATCTGAAATCTTGTGTTTCTACTACATCATTCTTCAATTATAATACTTTTAATATCCAAACATTACATTAACATCTCTTCTTCAATTTGTGCATTTTTTAGTTTCTGGGATCTACCTTGTTTCTTACCCCCAAGTTTTAAACGACGAACAATTATACAAATATAAAGATATAAAAATATTTCATTAGCTATCAGTATTCTTAACGGCTGTTAATTATGCAAGTATTTAAATAAAAGAAAATCATTGACAAAAGGGTCTAATCAAGAGATCGTTTTAATGATGGTGACAATTTAGAAGATTGTGCTGTTGAAAAGTGTTTTGAAATTTTATGCTAATATTAGAAGTTCAAATTTGATATCGTTCTTAGGTACGTGCATTTTCAGGTACTAGAGATCGGAAGTTATCCGGTAGAAACTGGAAAACTATGCAATTTCTAAGAGTAATGGAAGCTGGTATACTACATTAAGTATCATATTTAATACGAGTGCTTTGTAAATTATTGAAAATCCCCGACGAGGGGAATTATTTGAGAATTTCCAACCACGAGTTGTATTCAATATGACTATTTATGTTATAGTACATGCGCGGTTTATTGGATACCGACATAGCGATCGATGTTTATCGCCTGGTTATTGCTAAGATAGGTGAGTCACAGTTTATGATTGGCCAATAGAGAAAAGCGGTAAGAAACATCGGATAGAAAAGGTGATAACGTATTGAGATACACCGCACTTTTGGTTTGCATTTTGTATATGTAGTTAAAGACTATTGATTTTAATTTCACGAGTGTAATAGTCAAGTTCAATTGTATGTTCATGCATTTCTCGTTTTCAAATTTCAATTGAATATTTATATACCAAAATGTTTCTATTTAAATACCAAAATGTATGATGTAAAATATGTTTATGTAATTAAAAGCTGATTTTATTTGGGCATATTATCAACGTTTGATTCCAATCTAAAACCTAAACTTTTTAAAACATCAAATGAACAAAAATGTTGATAAAAAAGGCACAGTCTACGTTCATCACCACTGACCCAGTTACTAAATCACCTAAAGAATGCGCTTAGTTCTTCCATGGAGTCTTTTTTGCCAGCACGCAAGAACGAGTGCTGGAAGTAATCTTGCGTCGAAGGGCATTTTCATGGGCAGATGGGCGCAACGTGGAGGGGTGGGGGCGGGGCGTCAGGCCAGCTCGCTCAGTAGTAGTCGTTGCCGCCGTGGTACTGCTGGGCGACGGGGGCGGGGGCGGGAGCAGGCGCGGGCGCCGAGCGATGACCCTGCGCGCTGTTGTGGACGGTAGCCTGCGGACAGGAGAGTGCGAATTATGCTTATATGTCTTTTAAAAGGTTTTCGTTTATATTAATGTTTGTGAAGGCTTCACTACATGTGGTATTTCACTTTATGACTTCCAAATTTAGACTTCTTCTTAGAGAACGAGAAAAAAAAAACTTTAAAGATACACTTGGTGAGAAACTCGTGGCCAATGTTGACTGACATTACACAAGTGTATTTTGAAATACGTATTATTAATCCCACCTGTTAAAACTGAAAATTAAGCTAGTTTACAAAGTTTATATTTTTTTCGGTATTTTGAGAACACGCAACTCCCTGTGGCAGTGTGAGCATTGTTTCTTTCGTCATTTGCAAAGCTATTAACTTTCAATTTTAAAATGCTATTTTTTTAAAATTATTGTGTAATGGAATATTTCCTGTGTGTTTTACTACTGAGCCAATGGCCGTATGCCAACGCCTTACAGATTAATTTACACATTAGATTGTATAGCATATTAGAGGATCCCTGACTTTTGACGGTCTTAAATGTGACAACCGAAACAGCAATTCGTCGAATAACTTATTTTCGACAATGTGTCTTTTGATTGAATCCAAACAATTTTCTTTCAGATCGTAAATGCTAAACATTTGTCCCCGCATAAAATAACGATTGTGAACTTAGGACGATTCGAACACGATGAAATGACAGTATCCACATTTTAGCCTTAAGAGCATATACAATTCTTGCAAAAGAAGATAAATTTTAAAACGAATCTCTGAGCTAAGCAGGAGCGCATGCTCTCACCTGAAGCCGTTCTTGGGGTCGGAGGTGTAGGTGACGTGGCGCACGCTGCCGTCGGGCTCCACCACGCTGTACTCGCCCTTCACCACGTCGCCGTCGCGGGACTCCTTGTGGTTTTGGTGTTGCCGGTGTGCGGGTCCTCCACGCCGTACGCAAACGAGTAGTCGGGCTTAGCCTGAAAAGCACAGCGTCTCGCATCAGAAGCGCACGAAAGGGAGCATTGCATTTCTCCTCGAATGAATAATAAAGCCAAAAAATATTAAATACCTAAGCAAATTCTGATTTAATTTCAAAGCGTGCATTTCCTGTCTAAATGGATATTAAATTAATTTGGCTACTGTACCAAAATAGCAGCGTTTCTTTTTTTTTAGCGTATAGGTCAACTCGGACCACGCAGGCATCCTGCTTCAGCAGTACCTTTCGGGGAGGGGGAATCACAATTTTAGCTGAATCCCTATTTTTATTCCCCCAAGGTTGTTAGCTCTGGGACTATGGACGATGAGATGATGGTGATGATGATGATATGATGGCGGTGATTGGTGAGAGATGAAAGTACGCACACACATATATAGCCATACTTAACACGTCCATGCCCGAGGCGGTACTCGCGGTGTTGTGTTCCGAGATCGATAAGCACTACTGCAGGTTTTTCCTTCTTTATCTCCACCTCAAAAGTGTCGTGTTAATAAAAGATATGACTGCCAGGAACTGAATTTGATCCAATCGTACAAAAGACTTATTAAGTTATTAATGCTGTAATGAAGCAAATGGGTTGCGATGTAATAAATTAGAATGCGATTAGGGTTGCGATGTAACAAATAAATTAGGAATTTTAAATTCAGTGTAAAAGTATAGTAACATAATAAATTTGTGTACAACAATATCTTGAAATTCAATGAATCAGATACGTATGATAATTCTTAATCCGTATTTTGGGAGAAGTCAGAAAATATAAAAGCGTGATTAATTTTTCCGTTTGTGGAAATGAAAATTCTATTCGTACTCTTACATCTTAGTCAATCAGAATACTCCACATATAACTATAGATTTTCCCATTACATCACAAAATTAAATATCTTTTTTTTTAAATTTTGGAACAAATACAAGAGGTTAGCCCGATGCGAGTCTAGTTCATTATATTAATTCGTCTCATCATTCTGCTGAACTGGAGTGTGCATTTCATGCCAACCGCTGAGACGCCTTAGCTCGTATCCTCGTGGCCAGTGAAGTCTTTACAAAAGTTCTTTTAGGATTATTTCTTAAATAATGTCTGCTTTACACCAAACTGACAAACAGAATATTGTATATCCACGAGTCCATCCGCTTTCTGTCAAATAAAATTTACAATACACATACATACATACATACAAGTATATTTATACATATTGTTTCATATTTCGGATGAACTGCGCCCATTCGGTTATTAATGAAACACGATGTATTCATTTTAATGTCAATTTTAATATTTTATATTCAAATATGTAAATATAAGGATACAATATTTTGTGTCTAACATTATATTTAGACAGTATAATTGATGGTACTCGTAGCTTCCGTATTTCATTCCCGTTGCAACTTGATGTTGCCGTTCAGAAGAATTGCGCTCAGAATTACACGAAAAAGAACGGCTCAATGAACGGCTGAGTAGATTCGATGGTCTTTCAAATCACCGAATTTTCTCCGTACAATTCTTTCTGGGATGAACTTTGAAATGCGTATCCTCCTCCGTCGTCTTAGTTTTTCGGTGAGTCGAGCGAAGTGTACTATCATATTGATTATCTACAGTATGATTGTTGATTATATTTTATGCGTGTATATTTTCGGCAGAAAACTTTATTGCGGGGCCCTGGTAATAAAAAGTGGACAAATCCTATATAAGATTTTATAGAAAAAAAATCATCTATCACGTGGTGTAGAAAGAATCCACATTTTGTGGGTCCTTTATACCGAAAAATCGATTGACGGGAAATCCTCTGCCTTTTTGTGCATCCGTCCGTCTGTCAACGCTAGTGCCTAGTGACTGCTGTCAACGCTAGTGCCTAAACCGTTTGCGCGGAGATAATCTCGAGCTCGCTGAACAACTAGTGCCCAATCGATCAGATTAAACAGGAGGTTTGGGAGATTCAAACGATATTTTGATTTTGGAGGGTACTTGACAAGAAGCCTCAAAAACATTTTAAACATTTTCTCAAAAATGGCAGACTGGTTTCCCTGACACCCGCTTCTCAGATAATCCCGTTTAACTTTTGACTACCTCAGGAGGATTACCCAGTTGCATCCCGGTCGGTGTTTTTGGAGAAGGGATCAATTCAGTTACGTTCCCATTTTTTCCCATTCTTTCGGAGGAAAATCTCCAACTTTCAGGGGATTCCGATGTCTATCCGCGCTAGGTACCCTCTACGTCCCTCATGGCGACACATACTTACCTTGACACTAGACACACTTGCGGGCTGAGGTCAGCAAACTCACAAGGTCTTCCGCGACAACACACATACATGAAAGTGAATGGAAAAACATGCCCACCCCGGGACTGGAAGCTGCGATTCTTCAGACCGAAGGGCTGAATCGGCACACAGCCACCTCGTCTATCCAGCTAAGTTCTCATTCATAAGTAACGCAGATAGAGTTCACCAGTCGAGAGAAAATCTCGAACGCAGGAATAATCTGTGGCAGAATCTTTGGAACAGTGAACGCAATATAACTAAAATATACTTATTTAACACTGCTTATTTTAAAGGAATGCCGTGGCCCCCCTTTTCCATCTTGTAGCAGCCCACGGAAATCATAAATTAAGAATATTCGATTCAGGTAAATTCCAAAATAACAAGCTTTCCTTTACTTTATCACTCCATTACAATATTAGAGTTATAAAAATCGATCAACGTGAAAGCTTCTCTTTCATCTTCTTCAAATATGAAAGTACTCGCGAGGAAAACCAAACAGGACGCAATTGGGCTCTGACGTTGTGGGGATTTAGGTTAAAGGCTTTGGAAAACTTGACCACTGGTTGTAATCGGTATACGTGCGATCTTGACTGAACCCTGGCCTTAACACCCTTTCTTGCTCCCGCGCCCGTACCACCGCCCCCGCGCGCGACCCCTACTCAGGCCCGCGCCACCGCCGCGCCATCGCGCTGGTCGCAGCTCAATAAGAATTATAATTCGCGCTGCAGCTTGTGCCGTCGCGCCGCTCCAGCACACGTGCCCGGCGGCGGCGCCACCGCCCCCGCGCTAACCGGGCGATTTCTCTCGGCGCGAGGCGGTGGAAATGCGTGTGAAAGCCGCGCTAGATCGCTGCCCGCGACAATTACAAGAAGCGCCAGGCGGAACTCCGCGTTGCCCGCGTCGTTGAATAGCATCTGCGAGCTTGTACGGCTCAATTAGGTGGAGCTGCCGGGAAAGTAAGGGAAATGTAGATACGAGTCGTTCCATGCAGTACGAGGTTTTCCTGCTTTGTAGTATGTTCGGTCGCTTTTTACATTATTTTTATTATGTCGGGCGAAGTGGTTTAATGCGTAACGCGCCGATTTCGCAATCGGGAGGCCCGGGTTTCATCCCCATCCTGACCGAGGTTTTCGTGATTTCCCTCGGTCTTACAGGCGATTGCTGGTATGGCTGAGAAAGCCCACCATCCCTTCTTATCACCCCACCTGCAACTTTCCATCACTGACCTAGTTCTTTCGCACCTCATCATTAACTTACCACTTCGTTCAGCATTCCCTCCAAAAAGACAGGAGGCCCACTTTTAGTACATAAGGAAAATGTGTACGCTATTTACAATTTTTTTTATAATATATCTTTATTAGTGAACGAATATACTGAACTATGTATATTCGTTCACTAATAAAGATATATTATAAAAAAATGTAAATAGCGTACATATTTTCCTTATGTACTAAAAGTGGGAAATCAAAACTTCGTCACTTTAACTTTTAATTATTGTTATTATTAATTTAATGTTATATTTTCGTATGTTTAATGTCAGTGGTTTCTCTTATGCGCGTATGTGTAATGTTTGCACGGAGATAATCTCCAACTCGCTGAACAACGGAGAAAATCGTTCTTTGAAATCACGGAACCGGTACGAGATCCCACTCTTTTGGTTTTTACTTCGGACCCAAAATACCTATTGTTCTCAATCTGAAGACGTTTTATAAAACTTATGGAGAAAATAGTACTTCGTCGAATATACTTTTTCCGTGCTATCACGGCGTTGCCTCCGTTGCTAGGGTCATTAGTCCCGTAAGTGTTGTGCAGTGTTTCCTCAGGAGGAGACCTTCTCCCGAGATTCGTGGACGATCTACCGTCGACTAACGGGGTTTTCCCCACTCAGGAAACGGAAAACTACCGATCAGAGCAACCGGGCGCTGGAATTCTCCTCCTGACGACTGAATTCGAAACTCTTGTCGCCGTCGGGACTCCAACCTAGGACCTCCCAGTCAGAGGCACTGCAGTGTTCGATTTCGACATCGAATGTTTTTGTGTAGAGCCTAGCTGGCGTCAGCAGAAGGCAGCAGTGGCACACCGGTTGCGGTCTCGATCTCGACTTCGCGCGCCACTGCGTCGAGCGGTCGTCGTCGCTGCTCTCCCCACTGACTGACTTCGACATTGGGTCAACGCTGCGCTTGGCGGAAGGTGAAGAGGCAAAAAGCTATATGTTCGCGATCTCGAGGAAGTCTTTCATTGCCACACTTTAATCTACGTTCGAAAATACATCTCAAGATTTGGTAATCAATTAACTTCTTTTGTTCCCAAAGATAAATAATATTATAAAGTTCTTGCGGAGTGATATCTAAAAATAATGGACTGTTTGCAAAGATATGTGTATGTTGTTTATTTAAAAGCGCATTTTCGAAGCACTCTTCAAAATCGTGTCTTTCACTTCTCTGTTCACCGAAGTTCGAAAAAATGCGCCACTCTTTGATTCTTTAAAGCACGGAAATGTCATTTGCTTAACACTGCGCCATTTTCATTTCCAATCGTAATGCTCAGATAAGCGTGAGACGAATGTGAGTTTTTGTTTGGTTTTTTATTTTGTTCACCACTTCTACAAATTGAAATATTTTTGCGTCACTGTCGAAGTAAAGTGAGCTAGTGAAATAATCGAAAGCATGAAGAAGTTATGTTTATTATTACACTACTAGGAAGTTCTAGTGTTCTCAATAGTGTGCTTCTTTTCTCTTTTAATTTTCGTTGGCTTGTCAGGTACAAAGTGCGCCATGTATGATTAACCAATGTAATAATGGGGAATAGTAGAAAAGACCAAGTTTCTGCCTCCTGAGAAGCTCACTATCAATGTATTGTCTTTTTGACTTTTTTTTTTTTTTTTTTTTTTTAAGAATTAAATCCATGAAAATTAACTTGCCTTCTCTAGTCTTCTTCACTTTATCATAGGGCGGGTGTCAAATGTGGAATTGCGAATCGATTTTTACATTGGGGAAATTACCTTTCTTCAACTTTTCTTTTGGTTTTGATTACTAGGAAATTATATTCAAATGATTACGCATAAAGTAACAGCATTTTACAATGTTTTTCTATTGGCCATTCCAACTTCATTTCGTCGGATACCTTTACACCATCAATTTATTTGCAAAATATGTGAACCAAAAATGAATACAATCAAGCCCTTGAGGATGGTGCATGAACGTAGAATGTTCATAAAACAAGTTTAGTGCGATACGGTAATGCAACATTGCCCAATCTCGAATTTATTTAATTGTAAGAATGTTCCCCTACAAAGAACTCTACTACTAAATTATTTGCTGGCGAGGAGTCTCAGATCCCTAGTTCGAGAATCCTCTGTTACGGATTTAAGAAGGTCCATCGTCATGTCGGTAATGTAATAAAGTAGTTACGTTTAAAAGGCATATATTTTATAACTGCTATGGAGTCATATTCGCATTACAATATGCTGCTGTTAATTAAACGCGGGAGAACAGCAAACACCTTCTTATTTCATTAATGAATTGTATCAATTGTTTGGTCATGTTTTCGTATCAATCCATGTTGACCAACATAAAATTTACAAATATCAATATTCATGCAAACAACAAACTTACTAAGAAGAAAGGAAAACTATTTTCATGACCCCATTATGCAAGCTTTTTATCTTCCATAATGGGGTGAGCGCCACCTATGACGTTAAATCATGAATTAATTTTGGCTGCTTTGTGTACAAGCAGCAGAGAGTAAATGTTCGCAGTCTCGCGGATGGCTGGATTTGTTGACGGAGTCTTGGCTATTCCGCCACATATTTGGCGAACCATTGATTGGAAGTGACGAATCGCGACTGCTAAGATACGCGCTGCGCTTCTTCTAGATTGCCCTTAGGTAGAGACCGCAACCTGAAAGGACGCGCGTTATTTAATATATTTTCACCCGATAGTTCCAACACAGCAGTCTGTGGGAGTTGAGTTGAAATAGCAATTGAAGGAGTGATGAACATTTTCGAGTATACAGTTTGTATCAATGTTAGTTGTAGGTAAATCGATGGCTCCCAGTAACTCAAAGTTTCGGAATATTCTATTGGATATGAAATGAGATATCGTAAACAAGGCGGTGCAAAGGATCGCGGAACCTTCTGTATCTTAGATCACGCTTTATCTACCCTACCATTTAGTACTATCCATTGAAAGGTGTCCCTCTGGATCAACTACGTACCACGTAGTCGACGGCGTTGCCGTGGTGTGGCTGGTGTGCCGGGGCGGCGTGGTGGGTGGGCGCGGCGCGGTGCGCGTGCGGCACGGAGATCTGGTGCACGGCGCCGGACACGGGGCCCGAGAAGCTGCTGTAGTGGTAGCCGCCCGGCTGGTGCGACGCCGGGTAGTACTGCTGCGGCAGGCTGCGCACGGCCACTCCGCACAGCAGCGCGAAGCTAGCCACGAGCTGCAACTGCGCCGCGCTTCAGTCAATAAAGTGGCGACGTTGGAACGTTGGCTTGAAGATAGGTACACATGGACAAGGCCAAACCTCAAAGGGGCGGGGGGCGGGGACACCAGGGCGTCCTCCTCAAAATACATTGGTCACTGCAGACTTTAAAAACTTGAATCATTTTTATTCTAACTCGGAATTTCTTAGAACTTTATGTCGAGTATTCAATAATGTATTATTGTGCAAAGGAAGTAATGAAATATTATTATCCATAAACCGGATCAATAGTTTTAATTATTCTACATTGGTGTGGTCGTTCCCAAAAATACCCTGTCCCCGGCCAATTGTCTCTTGATTAACTCGCGCACCTCTCTAATGTGGCCACTACCTCTTTCATTGTTCGCGCGACGGAAGCCCTGTGGACCCTGGGTGTATGCCTTAGTGCGACAAAAACTATTAATTTTATTCCTCCGCAATCAATAGTTGTCTGTATCTACGTAAGGAAACAGTGAAAAATGAAGATAGTAACAAGTCTCTTGCACTTTTTTGTAGAAGAAACACAAAATCATTACAGTGTCATCAATTTACGTGAAGATTTGTTTTATGCATAACATTTATTAAAGATATCTTCCGCTGCCTAGGTTTTTGTTGTTTCCGTCGCTACTGAGAGCGATTTCATTGCCCACTAATAGTGTACACTAGGAAAATATGTTTTAGTTTCATATTTTGATCCATTGCATGCATTGAATTTTATCACCTTATCAAGATGTTTGATTATTAATGTAGCATCACATCGCATTCTTAATCGCCAAAATTAATTTCTTGTAATAATTCACTAGGTAATGTTTGGGAAAATTCAAAATATTTTGTAATTTTGTTGTCATGGTAATAAATAACGAACTTAATACATTGACTAATGATAACTGTTCCAATTTATTTTCTATAATATTTTTCGACCTGGCATCTTCAAGTCTGAATATGGGCGCTATTTAATCCTTCCACGACTCGGAATGATACTGTTTTGTTGAGTATTTCTGTGGAGTTGGTTTTATGTGAGATTTTTTTCAATGAAGAGAAAACATCTAGAATTAAAAGATTGCAATCCCTACATATTGAAATAATTACGGTAGTTTCATAACATAATGCGACGACAATTTTTATTTGTGCTATTTATTCAAACTGCAATGCTTTACTATTTTTCTTTGCTTATTATATTATGCAGGGAACCAAAAAACACTAAATGATTTCTTGTAAAACATTCTACACGTACGCTTCACGGTGTCTGGATAAATCTCCATTTTATACCGTAATAGTATTACGGGTTGAGGCAAAAACGCCATTTGATACATATCAACTGGTTCGGGTCGTAGCGAGAATGTAAAGGGAATTCTTTAGAATTTGTATTGCTGAAAATCGCACCAAACGAAAACCTCAAATAGAGGGGGTGCTATGAAGTGATATGCAAATTTACAAGCGCATGGGAGCGTGCGAATGAAAGCGCAGGATGATTTGTGGGTGTGCGCCTGACGTGACAGTTACCGCACGTGTACGTGGAGTAAGAAAGTGTAACGTGTGTATTTTCTCCTGCTGCGCTAAATCGCGTATGCTCTGTCATGGAATTTCTATTGAGATGGTAATGTTCCTAAAATTTTTTTTTTTTTTACGGAGAATAATGTTCCTAATCATGCTATCGTCGTCTTGTCATTGAAGTGAACACATACTCGTATCTCAACAACTAATTTATTAACTAAATAAATACATACACTGTTAGCAGGAGAGAAAAAAAGTGCGTACAACTTGGTTTCACATTTTCGACAAGACCCCCCACCCCCCACCAATCACTTGCAAGAAAATGGCATTGAGAGCTGCCTCCCTGCACGACCATCAACTACCCGTCCCAGTGACATTGGCGCAGCACGTCTCTTCTTACGAATGCCGGATCAACATTCCATTCACTACGTGCATGCATTCAATTTATATACATGTATGGTAGAATCAAATGTATTTACTAGTGTGAGTTCTCAAGATAAAAATATTAATCGGCAATTCAAAATTTCACAACGTCCGCTCGGAAGTATGCCCTCATTTACATTGTCTTGTATTTTCTTCATAACACAATTCTGTAATTAGCGGTTAATATTTCCTCTATAAATTAAATCTCAACGCGTTTCTTTACATGTTTTCGAGATGGTAGAGTTAAAATGCATTAGATTGTCAACTTCCCTATTCGTTAATACTGAACATGTCTGTCTGTCTGTCTGTATGTACTTCGGCACAGCAGCTCCGCAAGGAACCAACGCCTACCAGCGTCGTCCCGGCCTTGCGGCCAAGGGATAAGGGGTACGTGTGGTTAGCACATAGACATCCCTGCGCCGTTTGCTGGTCTTCTCAAACTGAGAAGTGAGTTTTCTTATCGTCACACAGCAACATATACTGAAACATTGCAAGGAAAACGCAGAATTTAATCTTGCCCCGACAAGGAATGGAATCCGGCTCGCGTCATGAAAAGCGAGCACGCACACCAGTGTAATTATGAATACATGTAATCGAAATGTGTAAAAATCCTTGAATGTGAAACTTGTTACACTATTTTTCTGGAAAAATATTTTATACCATCCCGTTATGAGTTCGAACAAATAAATTTCTGTGGAGTCTTGTAAGTGATGAAATTCGTCAAAATGTATTAAAATGATTCTAATCTTATAGTCAAACTTCAACCTCTGCTCAACACATTCGGAT